TGCAGTGTTACGACAGCAGTAGTCACGTGACATTGCTAGCACATGCATGACTGAATTTCTTTAATTATCAGGGGAACTCTACGAATTTTGGAGACACCTCTTTGTTAGTATATAAGCCTGGCGAGAAATGCCAGCGGGTGAAGCAAACAGTAGTCACGGTGTCGTTTGGGTAATTGACGATTCTGTTTCGAGCTAATGTGTGTGTGTTTTACACTTGTAGAGAGCGAAGTAATTGAGATTGTGTATTGCCGTGATTTATAGCGTGTATTATAAAAGTTGTTAAGTTTAAAGTGACGAGAAACATACTGACTGTGGAATTACTGGGCACAAAAAATTTGTATCGAGAAAGAATAAACTGGTTTAATCAAGAAAGGACTTGTATTGCTGAAGTTCCTCGGAAAGAATTTCTACTGGAAATTAACGAACAAGCAGATACGTAACAGTATATGTACTCATATATTATAACCAAGAAGTCCATTACTGACCAGAAGCATTTGTCTTTTGCAGTGTATAATTAAATTAATTTAAAAACTTTATACTGAGATTTTTGTAAAATGTCTGACTTTTTTTAATAGAAAAATTAATGTTCATATTGGTTTTATACCATTTAGGGAAAGATCCCTAAAATATGTGGAACTCACACATGATCAAACTACAAGATCAACCTCAAACAGTTCAGGAACAAGAATGAAAGTTTCAGTGTCAACTGAGTTTACTGATGTGAATAGTGAGGGTTCAACTATTAATTCTGGATATTTTAACAGAGCATCTGTTAAGAAAAAAGATGATACTTCAAATGAGCCCGTGTCAACTTGTGACTTGCTATGTTGGGCCTTTCAGGTTTCCCGAGGAATGGAATATTTGGAGTCCAGAAAGGTCAGAACATATAATTTTTATATGCTGTTTATTTTTTGTGATATGCAGATAGGATATTTCCCAACCCTTTTACCATATATATATCTTTTGCATAGTTGTAATTGAGAACTTCATAAATCTGGTTTAGTAAATATGCTAATTAAGCCCTTGATATTGCTCTCTGTAGCATGAATTTATCAAGGTTACTATTTAGTATTTCATGGGATAGCTGTATTATATCCAATATACCCCAGAAATTGAGATTTTACAACTTTCACATGAAGCAGAGATACTTATATTTCCAAACATACTTGCCTCCACTGACACTATAGCTATTTCTCGATCTCCAGGGTTTCCACTCTTTGCCCATCTAAGCATTGAAAATGCTTTTATACTCCCAGTCGATTGCTCTTGGCAATTTCTAATTTGCAAAATTCTCCACCAACTTCAGTGCACCCTCTATCTAGGTACTGTATATAAGCACCTCATTCAGATAATGTAATCACATTTTTTGACAAAGAATTTGGCACAGATTTCTATGAAAAGGAGTGTTGTGATTATTCACAATTTACGTTGCGACTTTGAACATGGTTGGCGTTACTAGGGTTATGTCTTTGTTTATATTCATAAATTACTTTAACAATAACAACAAAAGAAGCCATACTTATGAGTATGTATTACTGAGTTAATGTTTCTACTATGGAGGCCAACCACACCTCTTCTGTTCCACGTCTGCTATCTTTTGTTTGTCAACAGCCAGGGAAGGGGTCACTCTCAGTCGAAGCTGTCCATGATATGATCTATTGTGAGATGGAGACATGTGTGCAGACCGAGGGTATCTTTCCAAGGGGTTCTGAAGCGGCTTTTGCAAATGGGACCAGCTGGGACTCACTTTTTCTGGCTCCTTCTTTTACTAGGCCGGCCTCAACAGAGGATCATTTTGATCAGCCTCCTCCAGCCCCTTTTCTTCTGTTGGTTACTTGGGTTTGTGAGGTTTTGGGGGTCTCTCCTATTGCATTTGACTCTACACCTTCCTTGTTGGGGAAAGGACAGCAAGTGATTACTTGATTTTTCCTTCTTTTCCTGATATTGCTCTTCATGCTGGGAGATCTGCTGCTCAGTTACACGACGGGATGCCTATGCCTTGTTCTCCATGTTTATTGGAACAGCATGTTTTGACTTATCACCGCCAGGAGGAGGTATGTTTAGATTCTCAATGGATGGATCCACTTTTGGCCCTGTGAGGGGTCTAGATTGGAACTTGTGATTACTTTAAACAGATCACAGTTTCTCGGATTCGTCTTACTCTCACAACTGTCTTGAGGTATTTATTTTCCATCCAACTTTTGTCAGAAGCCTACCACCATTCTCCTCGGCAATTTGAGGACGAGTTGGGGATTTTGCTGATGTCTACCTCAATCAGATTGTCTTTTTTTTAATTCTTTCTTTGGTTTCTTGGCTGGTTTTTTGTTGGAATTTATTGGATAGAGACACTTTCCTAGAAAGTGTTTATGTACCATCTCCTGCCATCAGGGAGTTGTCAGAAGCTCCACAGACGTTAGAATCACGAACTGATTAATCTGATTTACATTTTTTCTTGATTGTAGTTGGCCTCTCCCCTTTCTGGCGCTAATTTGGGAGTGTTGGCTCTTAGTGTTTCCTGACCACCTCTTTTGGTTCTCTGGCCTATCGGTTCCATCTGTATTCATGAGGATCTTCAGCTTGGGTGGACTACCGACAATGGCATCAGTGACTATCCTGTTGGTGAGGGAGCAATTGGAGCATGATTACATCACTTTCTGGACATCTGGAGTTCTTTCACCAGGGATCCATGGGTACTCCATGTTCTAGCTTCAGGGGTGGTCATTCAATTTACATCACGTCCACCATTATCTGCACAACCTGTTGCCATTTGACCTCCAACAGATCCACAGTGAGTGGAGCTTCATTTCCAGGCCATAAGAGAGTTGTTAGTCAAATGGGCAGTAAAGGGGTCGATCTCATTCTTCTGGGATTTTATTCCCATTTATTGTACCCAAGAGGACAGGTGATTGGCATCAAATCATCGATCTGTCTCGACTCAATCAATTTTTAGATCCTCCTTGCTTTACAATGGAATATTTTCTCAACCTACGATGACACTTTGCACCAGGGCTCTGAATGACCAAGTTCGATGTTACTGATGCTTATCTCCATATTCCCATAGCAGAATCTCCCTGGAGGTTCCTAAGATTTGTGCACAAGGGTCAGGTGCTGCAGATCAGGGCTCTACCTTTTGGTCTTGCATCAGCACCTCATGTCTTCTGCAGAGTTGTTCAAGCTTTTTTTTTGTCACCTGCATTCCTTGGGACTGTGCACACATCGTTATATGGATGACTAGTTCCTTCTGGCACCATCCCATCAATTAGCAGAACAACACTCTCAGATTCTCCTTTCAGAAGCCACAAAAGTGGGCTTCCTTATGAGACTGGAGAAATCTATTCTGTCACCAATGCAATATCTCGTCCATCTTGGTGTGTTTTCAATACTCATGTAATTCTCGTTCAACCAACCCCTATCAGGATGCAAGCCATCAGGCTTTTACTTTTGACTCATTCTCCTACCGTGCAGATGGTTTTCTCTCTCTCTTAGGGATGTGGGCATCCCTTGAGCCTCTCATTCCTTTGAGACAAGCACATATGAGGTCCCTTCAGTGGTCACTACACGACCAATGAATCATGCATTCCAATACATTGGATCATCCTGTTTCATTACTCAGGAGCAACATCGTTGATTATGAATGATGGTTGGATCAGAACAACACTACTCTTGGGGTACCCATTCCACCACCTTATCCCAAGATCCATCTGTTCACAGACGCTTTTCTTCAGGGATGGGGAGCTTAGCTTCAATGTCAGGAGTACCAGGGTATATGGATGGAAGATGAGTCTACCCTCTGTATCAATCTTCTCAAACTCCTTACAGTACACTGGGCAATGGTTCAATATCAGTCTCTCTTGAAGGGAAAAATTGTCATAGATTCCAACAATTCCTTGGTGGAATCTCTCATTTCTCGTCAATGAGGCACACATTCTCGAGACCTTTGTTTTCGTACCTTGGAACTTCTTTACTGGGCTCATTCTCATCATATCAGTATTTGAGCATGTCATGTTCTAGGAGTGATGAATTTAATTGCAGATCACTTGTCTCAACCCAACCAGATTCTTCCAAAGGAATGGATGCTATATCACGAGGTTTTTCAGTGGATTTTCTCTCAGTTCGAGTCTCCAGTGATCGATGCCTTTGTGACTCATTGGAATTATCAACTGCTGTTGTTTTGGTCTCCAATAGCTCATCCTGAAGGGTTGACAGTAGATGCATTCAGTCAGGGCTAGACAGGTTTACATCTGTGTGCCTTTTACCCAATTTGGCTACTGTCCCGGGTTCTGACTATGGTTTATTCCACTATCTGTCAAGTTGTCTTGTTGCATCATACTGACTATCTCAAATATGGTTTCCACTTGTTCAGTATGTGAAGAAATGTCCACCTCTACATCTTCCACATTGGCAGTCTCTGTTGAGACTACCTCAATCAGACATTTTCCACCCAGATGTTTGGAAACTCAATTTTCATGCTTGGAAGTTACGTGGTCCTTTGCCTGACATAATGGTTTAACTTCTAAGGTTTCTCTGTACTGAACTAAATCTCTCTGTAGGACAACCATGGCCGTTTATCAATGGAAATGGAATACTTATCGTCAGTGGTGTATTAAAAGGAATTTAAACCCTCATTATCCTAAAGTATCTGCCATATTCCCATTTTATGACTTGGATATTTGAGAAGGGTCTTGCTTCGTCTATGATGGCCTTGTATAAGGCATCCTTGTCCACTATTTTTCAGTATTCCAAATATCAGAAGGTTTTTGAATCCTCAGTACTATCAGGTTTCTCAAATCCCTTCATATTCTTCAACCCAAATGATATTTTCAATTACCGAATTGGGATTTTAAAGTTTTTTACATGCATTGTCTCATCCTCCCTTTGAGCCCATAGCTTCATGCTCTTTGTTTCACCTTTTTCTTAAATTATATTTTTTGTTGTTGTTGGCTTGTGTATGTCATCAGTCAGAGTTGTTTGCAATCCATGTGCATCAGAATCTTTATCATTGCACATTTGTCCTGCTTTACCCTGATAGGTTTTTTCTTCCCAAGACTCTGGCAGCTGGAGAAGGAGAAAGATCCTTCTCACGAATCCATTTGCCAGCCCTTTCTCACCTTTATGACCACTCCATTCCTGACTGTTTGTTATGTCTGGTGAGGGTCCTCAAGTGTTATGTGGCTCGTACTACCTCATTTCGAGGTACTAGGAATTGATTGTTCATTTATTGGAATCCTTCTATTTCCCATGATTTATCTCCCATTACCCTAATGAGGTGGCTTCGTAAATTGATTCACATAGCTTATGATGGATTATCGTCACAGGAAAGGAATCTTTTGCATGTCACATCTCACCAGATTCGTCATATCTCTGTCATTAGCTGCCCAGTTGAATTTCCCTCTGGAAAACATTGTGCAGGCTGGTATGTAAACTACTTCTAATTCTTTCCTATCTCATTACTTACATCATCTGGCAGTTTCCTCTTCTGAGGATTTTCAACTACCTCTGTAGCTATTTTAACCATATCTATGAGATTTTAACCAGAGTTATTTTCCTCAATCATATACTCTTTTATTTCCAGGGTCGCTTTATTTTTCACTGGATTCCACTCCGTGGCAAGTGTTGCCCAAGCAGATATGCTTTCTCTTTTCAATTCTGTATTAGCAACCATTTTCACTATAATTACTATGGGTTGCAACAGGCTCTGTTGAAATGGGGTGTTCCATAAGACCATCTAGATGCTTACTGGATGGTATTACCTTATTATTATTATGGACTTCTACTCATGGACTATCATGAGTGAAGCTAAAGGGGATCCTGCCCTTCCCTGCTGATCTTCAGGTTGAATAAATAGGGGTCAGTTTGCTTTTAAAAATGTAGGGAACTTGGTGCAACAATTGCACAGTTTCCAGAGCACTGTTCCTCAGGACTCCCCCATGTGTATTACCTCCCAGACCTTACTAGTGGAGCTCAGGAGTTCTTACCACCCCCAGTTTCCAGTAATCCTCATGATTCTGAATGCAAAGTGGTCCCATCCTAGGTCTTTGGTTGAGCACAGGTTCAACATCCTCTTTATAATTCCAAGGGCAAGTGGAATAAATACTCCTTGTAGACTTGGTTGGGGAATGAGGGTGAATGTTCATAATTCCAGACCAGATGAGTTCTGTTCCTATGGTTGAGTACTGTATACTCAACATTTCATATACACGATCCCATCATTCTGAGCCTGGGGTGTTGCCTTTTGGACTTCTTCAGGTGGAGAAGAAAGTTTGTCCACTTCAGTGTTGCTTACTTTCTCATCGTGATACTGGTGGTGTGAAACGCATCACTCTATGGCTATAGGTTGGGATCCAATCAAGAGTATATATATATATATATATATATATACTTATGGAGATTGAGAAATAGCTATAGTGTCAGCAAAGGTAAGTATTATTGGAAATATATTTTCAGTTTAGGAAAATGTTAGCTTTTATATACCGGTTTGCAATTGCTCTGGTTGGAATGTGTATTGTGGAGCCATTTTAATGATTCTTTACATTTCCAACCTTGAAAGGGGCAAGTCATGCTAGCAAACCCTTGTGAGTGTTCTCATTTCAATAGAGTTAGTTTTCCCTTTTCAATTATTATTCTGTTTGTTAATAGTTCATATTTTACAAAATTTTCTTTGATTTTTATATCACTTGTTTACTGGTATTTTAGAATTTACACCCTACTAAAGTAAACAACCGTGCTGTTGTTTGCAACACAGAAATGTGTATTTCATTATACCAAGATTACTGTTAAGTTTAAATGCAATATAATGAAACAGGCTGCTAAGAAAGATACTCTGATAAGGGCTTGAACCTTTGACCTCACGTCATGCTAGTGCTGTGAGGTTCATGCTTTACCAAGTGAGCTACAATGAAGAATTCATGTCCAAACACATACCCATATTCCACCACTAAAACAAAGTTCATCCTCTAGCTTTCAACATGACACACAACTCAAACTCGAACGCTGAATTCATTGATGCACAACATACAGCTGAAAACACAAAAACATATCAAAGATTAGGTCAAATGGTTGTAATTAGCTCAGTGCCGATATAAGGAATCAGGATTTTCAGAAACTTCTCTTGACCAGGGCTTGAAATTGGATTTCCATGGTTCACCAATAAGTTAAGAGAATTTGAGTTTTAAGTGGGTAATTCCCATGCTGATAGTTACTGAAAATATTGGTTGAAAATATATTAGCTATTGTGCAAGATAAGATATAGAGTATAATATAACTTACTTGACTTATATGTTTCACAAAACATTTTAAAACTCAAATCAAAAGTTTGATTTTCAGTTGTAGAACTATAAAACTGAAGAGTGATTTCTGATATTTAATTAAAAGTCTTTTTTTTGAAATATAAATTCTGCATCTGCACTGCTGTTAATAATAAAACGATGCCACTTGTAGTTAAGTATTACAGTTCAACCTATGATGAAAATATAGTTTTATCTTACTCAAACTTGAAATATTCTTAATGATGATATTCTTTGTTCTGGTAAATAATAGGAAACCTTTGAGCATGAAAATAGTATTATTCTTACAATACACCTAAAGAAATGTTTTAGTTTTTTCATGGCTCAACAAAATCCTTCTGGATTTGTATAATACTGAATCAAAGTAATCACTTATGAGTAAGTAATTTCTTAACAGGTGTTGTGTGATAGAACTCCAACAAAGGCTTATCATTTTGAATTAATTGGCAGTGAAAATTAAGAACTGAGACTTATTGGGTTAAAAATCTGCTCTGATAACACAGGCCTGCGAAATTAAACTTCATAAAAGTTGTTTTGGTTTTAAAAACGGATATTCCATAATTCAGCTATGCAGATTTCAAAAATAAAATTCATTTTTTTCTATTACATATGGATTTTATACAATTCAGGAAGAAAAAAAAACTTGCTTAGAGCGAATTATTATTCGTTTACCACAATGAACATTTTTATTATTATGTTTGTAAACAAAAATACAAACAAACTGAAAAAAAGGGAAGAAAATTGATGTCAAACGAATATGCATCCTCATTCATCCTGATTTTCTTTGTGAAATCGATATCTTTTAGTCTCAAAACTACATGTTGCTGTAATTTTTTATGTTTTGTGAAAAATCAGTAAGTGATGGAGAAAAATGAATATCATTTTCCGATTCAGCGTACAGGAATTACTGTAGAATTTGTAAAAATATCAAGACATTAAAACCATCGCAAGTCTGTGTAATTATACTACAGTTATATATTAATATCATACTAAATTTACACTAATTATCATTAGATAAGTGTCAATTTTGAGATAAACATATTTCCAAAAATAAATACAATGGAATATTTACACTTAATTAGGAGAGTAATTGTAATAACGAAAGTGAATTTTGATAAAAAACACATTTTTTCAGCTTATTCATCGAGACTTGGCAGCCCGAAATGTCCTGTTATCAGAAGATAATGTTGTGAAGATATGCGATTTTGGCCTTGCAAAAGATTGTTATAAATACTCCAATTATGTCAAGAAAGGAGATGTATGTTTATAGTCTTTCTAATAAAGTTATTAAGTAGAGTTTGAAAACAAGCATTTTATTTAATCAACTTTCAAGGCAGTTATTTTATCAAAAAAAATGTGTTTTTTTATGCTTCTAGTTTCATATTGAAGGCTTGTTATGCTGGTTCATTTTTTTAGTCAAAGAAATAGCTGAATGTATTTATCATTGAACAAAAAGTTTATAAGAATAAAGTACATATGAGCTGGTTAAAGTTTGTTAGTTTAGTTGGTGTTTTTAATATATTTGTTACCGATTCGGGTGCCTAGAGATTGTCTGAGCACAGAGAATTCTTTGTCTAGCTTTGTACTTAATAAAAACAAAAACTTTCCTCTACAAGTGTTTAAAATAACAGTTTGTTACTCATTTCACAATATGTTAAACTAGCATAGATGCTCTGGATCTACAGAAACGTTATAGACACCATATTATAAAGCTTGTCATGTTGTATATTTATACTTATTGAAGAGTAATGTTCCATATTGTCCTATTGTAATGAAATATAATTTGTACTAAATGTAATGTAAATAACAATAACTCTCCAGTTATGTTTTCAATAAATGTAGGAAAAATAGAAAACTTGATTTATGTCTGTTTTGGCTTCTTGATAACTATTTGTTTTTGTTTTCAAACTTCTTCATATGCAATTTTATGCTACAGGGTCCCCTGCCAGTCAAGTGGATGGCCATTGAGTCAATAAGAGATAAAGTCTTTACCATTCAGAGTGATGTGTAAGTTGAGATATTGAGTAATAAGGACACAACTACACAAATTCAATTTGAAAAAAGTAGTGGAGTCTTTGGTTGAAAATACTTGTGCTTTCTCTCCTGCAGAATATGTACAGATGGAAAGTGAAACAGTAATGTTTATGTATAAAGACTGGAAATAATAGATTTATGTAAATATGGTTTCATATTCTGAGTAAATGTGTAATAACACTATTCGTAAGCAACTAAAGAAAATTCTATAAAAAGAATATTAAACAAGTAAAATAGTAGGTAACTTTATACTGCTCACAACTTTCTATGTGGCTCTGTATTATCCATATCTAGAGCTATATGCAATATCATTATATTGTTTTGTTTAATACAACAAAAACATTAGTATAGTTGAATTTTATAATGAAGAATTTGTTCACCCAAGTCATATTATATTAAATAGAAGTAGACGTTCTCTCATTTATTCAAGTATACTTTAAAATAATGTTGAAATGTGTGACAAACGAGTACAGTTTATTTAAAGATTTTTTTAAAATTTGGCTTAATTTTAAGCTTAAAGATGTCAAATACTTTGAATTAGCATTGTTCTGTATATAAGAAATTAAATTTACTAAACATTTCATACAAAACACAATAAAAAACGATTTAAAGTATTTCTTTTCTTGAAAAGATATCCTTTAATGCTTTGTTCTAAACAAGAAAAAAAATTAATATGAAAAACTCACACTACTAAAATGTTCAATACTTTATAAGTTTCTATTGGTATATAACTAAATTTTGCTAAATTGCAAAGATCAGAAAATGATTTAATGCTTAAAAAAGTGAGATATAACCTAAGTAGTTGTTTTTCTATAGAAATTAGATCCTAATTCTTGTTTTACACCTGTGTGATATAGTTGGTCCTTTGGAGTTTTGATGTGGGAGTTCTTTACCCTTGGGAGTAATCCATATCCAGGGATTGATATTGATGAAGAATTCTATAAGAAACTAAAGAACGGGTACAGAATGGAAAAACCAGAACTGTGTCCTGATGGAGTGTAAGTACAAATAATAGCTTCTATGCACTTCTAAGAAGTATTCTTAAATGAATAAATGCTCAATCATCACAACACTGATTTTATAAAGCTAAATATACCATAATTAGATAATTAGATTTTGTGTGAGAAAGAAAACTCTTAATAAAATGTTATGAAGAAAACTGGGTCGAGGAAATATTAATTTTTTAGTGAGTGATTCTGTAATTGGTTAGAAATTGAATATTATCATTAAAAAGTGCAAGGATAGTTAAATATACTTGAGAGTAGAACAACACTTCCCAAACTTTTATTCTTATGTGACCCCATTACACAAACCCTGCAGATAGTTCATTGGCCTAACATTGATTAAACAACTTTAGCTGAAATGATGACAACAGTATTCTAACTTTTAATATTAGTTACCAATATAGCAGACCAAGATTGGTTTAATTGGACCAACAGATGATGCTTTTTGTTGGGCATTACATGGTTTGTTCAAAATTGGTTGAATGTTGCCATTTGGTAGAATGTTAATAAAAAAATTTTCCGTATATTTTTCTGTGTGTAAAAATTTTGTGCAAAACTACTACCACCCAGTGGCACAGCGGTATGTCTGCAGACTCACAATGCTAGAATCCAGGTTTCGATACTCGTGGTGGGCAGAGCACAGATAGCCCATTGTGTAGCTTGATGTCTACTCTTCTCAGACTGAATAATGGGATCTGACTTTACTTCTTATTAATGCACCCATAATCTCAGAGTGTGGAGAACATTTTGTGGTATCACATAGATTCGAATCCAGTTTGTCAGCTCCAAAATTCAGAACTCTTCCACAGAGCTAACCTGTGCCCATCATGAGTATAAAATGTCAAGTCATCATGATCTAAAGCTGTTACATTATTTCACACATACATTACCAGTCTGTGGTAGTGCACATTCATTAATTTAAAAACTGGTTGGAATGTTGCATAACAGTGACCTCTACAATAAACTGTAACTGTGAAGTATTGGTTAAATGCATTCTATATAATATTATAGAACAGCTGGGAGGTTTATATTAATGACCTTATTAATTCTTGTGTTTTGATACAGTAATTCCCTCTGCTCACAAGATTAGCTATTCTCGTCCAGTGCTGACCTCTATATGCAAATTATTTTTTACACATACCATGAGCCTTCTCCTCCTCCCTACTGGAATCAAATTTTTCCAACATGTCTTTTATGTGAATCATCATGCATCACTTCTCCACCAATAGTAGCGTGATGCATGTGACTCCTTCTATACGCCTCTACTGAACTATCATTTCTTGTTTGGCAGCACTTGTACTTTGATGTGTTCCTTTTTGTTTGTTTGAAGTTTCACATTCGTCTTTAGTATACTCACGAAGTGGTCTTTATTTATTTTCACTTCTAGTTCCTATTAACACTGTTTCTTAACTTCTCTTTAATCCCAGTTTATTACAGTCACATTGTTATTTATACTTTCGATTATTGGTTGACTCTTCCTCATTATGAATTCTGAAGTTCATGTTACCACTTAGAGGTCACACCTGTGACTAGCCCTATGTCTGAGACCTCAGGTGCAGGTGACCCCGTGGGGGATTTATCTACATTTATTCGCTGGGAGTTTGAACTTACATGGGTCAACCTCTGTCTCTAGACCTCTCCCCACTTCCTCTCAAACAAACTGGTCCTGTTCAGGTTGATGAAAACTTGGATTGCCTATTTCCACCTCCTAACTTTGCTGTGCCTTCCCATGCTCAGCCTAATATGGTCTCTTAGGATTTCGTTTATCAGGTATGTGACATTTTAATCATTTACCCTCATTCCTATGTACCACATCCTTACTTACTAAATGATCAATCTTCCCATCCCTATTTGGTTTTTCCCTCCTTCCTGGATATTCGGGTACATGCTTACCACTTTGCCTCACAATTAAGTGATGGAATTAACATGCCTCGCCCAACACAGGCTTTGGATCAGTTTGCTCTTCCATATCATCATGCAGATTGTCCTTTTTCTGGACCAGCAATCATTAGGTTCTGTTTTCCCTGTTTAGGGTGCAGCCCCCAAATCACCTGTAGGTTTGACCCATGCCCAATTTTCCTGCCTTCGTTTTACTCTCACAACTCTTTTACAGTATCTCTCTACCATCTTTCTCCTCTCTGAGGCTCTCCACCGAAATACTGAGAGGTTTTCTGGGACATCCTCTCCCTTCTTTTCTCTGCATTGGCTCATTTGTCGTCTTCAGTTCTGGATTTACATACGTAGTATCTCTGTTGTTGGGACATTCTAAGTGGTGATGTGACTTTAGTTTTCACTCATTTACAATCATCTTCTTTTGGGGATTTATGTATGGGCCACATTTCTGCAGTGATACATCTTTGACTCTTTGGAATCACGAGTTGCATTACTATAACAACAGTCTACCTTTTCCAACTTTGTTGCCTGTTGTCTCGTTTCGTCGTTTGAATCGATGATGCTCCTCATGTCACTAACAGTATTGGTGACTACCCAGTGGGAGCTCAGCTTGGCGATTTTCTTCAAATTTTATCAGAAGGATTCATGATCCCGTTTTTTCCCCCACCTCCCATGTTTCATATACCTATTTCATTCCCTTAGCCTCGGGATCCCATGACAAGCCAGCATCTGTCAGAGGCAATTCAGGAACTATTATTTCAGCATGCCATTGAACCTGTTCAACATCCTTCACCAGGAATTTATTCCAGACCCTTTGTTGTTCCCAAGAAAACCGGGGACTGCAGGCCTGTCATCGATTTGTCTTCTCACATTTGCTTCATTCAACTGCTCTGTTTTACCATAGAGTCATTTCTCACCCTACAGTGGACATTTCCTCTGGGCTTATGGATGACCAAAATCGACATCACCATGCTTATCTTCACATCCCTATGTCACCACGGTCTCGTCCATATTATTGGTTCATCCATCATGGGTGGTTGATCAATTTAGCACGCTACCTTTTAAGCTTACTTCCACCCCATATGCGATTCCACTATTATATGGATGACTGGTTTCTTCTGGCTCATTCCAAACGAGTTGGCCAGCCATACTTGTCAACTCCTTCTAGTGGCTGCTTGAGTGGGCTGGTTAATCAAATTGGAAAAGTCCTTCCTCCGACCTACCCATTATCTTGTCCACTTGGTTATATTTTTCAACACTCATCTCAGTCGGGTCCAAACTTCTCCTCTATGACTTCATTCCATGGAACTGTTCGTTCACCATGCCCCTCCAGCTTCCTCACTTTCTGCTCATCACTTTTGGGGATGTGGTTTTCAATGACGTCACTGATCCTTGTTGGTTGTGTGTATATGTGAACCCTTCAGTGGACTCTTCACGATCAATGAAACCTTGCTCAGGATTCCTTGTCAGTTCCCAGTACCCTTCCAGCTACCCTGATGGACAATTTGCATTGGTGGTGTGACAAGACCCATACATCGGTGGGCATCTCACTTCCTCCTCGTCTAGATTTACATCTTTTCACAGACACATCCCTTCAGAGCTGGGGTGCATGGGTCAATCACCAGGAGGCTTTGGTTCATTGGTCTGTAGACGAAATGTCTTTGCATATTAAGGTCCTTGAGCTACTCACTGTCCATTGGGCTTTGAATCACATTCTTTCTCTTGTCAGACATTGTCTGGTGATGATTCATTCTGACATATGTGCTACGGTGGTAACACATATCAATCACCAAGATAGTACGAAGTTGAGATCTCTCCGTTTTTAAACATTGGATCTATTATATTGGGCCCACATGCACCACATTCATCTCATTGCATGTCACATTCTGGGTGCTCTCAATCTCGTAGCAGATCATCTTTCCCACCCTGACCAAATATATCCAACAGAGTGGTGTTTAGATTCCCTCATTTTCTGGTGGCTTTGCAGTCGGTGGGGTTTTCCCCATGTAGATGCATTTGCCACATACTTTCATCACAAGTTATCCCTCTTTTGGTCTCTGGTACCTCATCCTCGAGCTCTGGCTTTTAATGCCTTCAACCAGGATTAGCCTCACAAATTCCTTTATGTTTATCATCCTATTCGATTACTTCATCAGGCAATCTCTCTCATCCATACCACTCCATGTCGAGTCCTTCTGATCAGTCCTTATTGGCCAGCTCAACTGTTGTTTCCACGATTACAACAACTTCAACTTTTCCCTCTAGTACCTCTTCCTTTGTCTCCCTCCATTCTTCATCAACCTCAGTTACTGGTTCTACATCCAGCCATCCTCATCCTTCATCTTTATACAGGATTTTATCCATTCCATGGCGAGGAGATCAGGTTTCTCCCATCGAGTAGCTTTCATTTTAGCTCATTTCATGTCCTTCTTCAATGGAGGTGTATCAGTGCAAATGAAAAGTGTTCTGCAGTTGGTCTGTGACTCAGGGATTCTCCACTGACTGACCTACTGTGGCTTGAGTGGCAGAGTTTCTCCCATGACTTTTTGACTGGAGGTTTTCAGTCTCTTTGCTCTCAGGTTATAAGGCTTCCTTATCCCATACCATTTGTTTTTCCCGATACTGTCAAGTGTTTACCTCCCCTTTCCTTACCATGTTAATGCATTCCTCCTGGATTCGTCATCCCTCCTAGATGGCCTACCCTTCTGGTCTGTGATATTAATGTGGTCCTTTATTCCCTCACTTTAGCTCCATTTGAATCACTTTCCTCATTTCCATGTTTCACCTTTCCCTTAAAACCTATTTTCTTGTCCTCTTCGTATGTGGACATCGAGGTCTGATGTGTTTGCCATTAATGTTTCAAGTATGCTTTACCGCCCTACCTATCTTCTCCTTTCTCCAAAAGACCTTGGTGGCTAGGGAGAGTATCTCCTCCTTTTTACCTATTTCTCATCTTTACCCTCGTCCCGATCCAGATAAACTTCTGTGTCCGGTCCATACTCTTCATTGTTATATTGCTGGACTCTTTATCCCTTAGCAGTCTTCTTCTGTTTGCGATCTTTCCACTTCTACTCTCACTAATTGGGTTTGACTTTTGATTGGATTGGCTTATTCCTCCTTGTCTTCTTCCTCCTGGAATTTGTTCCAGGTGTATTCTCATCAGATTCGACACCTCACCTTTTCCCTCGCATCTCATTATCAACAGCCATTGGAGGAAATCCTACAGTCGGGCATGTGGGCTACACCTAATATGTTTCTCTCTCTCATTATTTACAGCATATTGTGGTTTCTTCATCAGGTTTTTGTCTTCCACCTGTGGCCTTTCTTCAGGCTTCGGTGCGGCTTTGACTGGGTACTGGGTAAGTTTATATTCATACTTTTCCTTTCAGGGGCCCTTGCTTCATTACTCATTATATGGATCCTGTTCTGTGGTGAGTGGTGGCTGTCCAGGTATTCTTCAACTTGAAGTCTGCACTGTACAGCCATGTTACTCATGCTTTATCTTCTATGGCTTTGCAATGCTCATTGTTGAGATGGTTGTTCCACAAGATTGCTTGTAAGTCAATAACCTTACGATGTAATTGCTTCATAAACTTGCCTGTTCCAAACCGCACCACCCATGGACTGCATGGGTAAAGCAGAAAGGGATAGTTACCCATCCCTGCCATACCTTGTATTGAATAAATCAGTATGATCTGCTTTTCAAAATAGGGTTTTGTGATCACCCATTGCACTGTATCAGGTGGGGACATTCCTCCAGACTCTCCACCACATTCTCATCCCCTTTACTTCTAGTGAAGTATGGGAGTCCTTACTACTTTCCAGTTCCAAGCTGCTTGGGTGGTCAACCATGGGGGCAATAAAACAGTAAATCACATTAATACACATAATAATTTTGAGGTATAATTCAATTGGAACAATG